TCTTAAAGATTTGCCCCAGCTTTAATCTGCAGTAAGACTATCTGTTTCAATTGGATGTGCTCTTTCCTGGGCTTGTGTCTTTTCAATCAGCCAGTAGCCCTGCCGGGTTTAGAGTGGCAGAGAGGAAGTGGCCTGTGGTTAAACAGAGGAAATTCCAAGGCATTTTAATAGAGCAAATAGTCTCTTTACTTCCCACAGGGAAGAGCTTCAAAGGCCCCGGACCCTGGAGGAGACAATGTGTTGTGGGGCCATCAGTCACCTAATCGTGTGTCAGGACCATTCAGAATGTCCCAGCAGCCAAGACAAACACTGCCCAGGAGGACATTGCCTCCCACCAGACGACCAAGTCTGGCTGCTGGGAGATGGGGCCCATGGCACCAGCACAGACAGGCCCCCTGCGCTTGCTGAGGGCCGGGGACCTCCAAATTTGGGGGAGATGTGAAACAGAAAAAGTCTCAGCTGCCAGAGTAGAGTGCAGGAGAAAGGTCTCCTCCGAGGGCACTGTCCCCCAACCCTGTCAAGCTTCTAGGGGCACCTGAGCACCCCTCCCCCTTCTCCTCAGCACATACTCTTACAACTGGGGTGGGGGGGGGGGAGTCACCAAGCTTCCAGAAGACTAAAAGCCCATCCATCAGAGGCAGACACAAGGAGTGAGAAACGAAAAGGTACAATTAATCGGTGATGGGGTGGCCCCAGCAGCAGCAGACATCTGCTGGGCACGCTATGTGAAAAGCTCAGGGACCGATAAGAGGAAAAGAGGGTCTAAAAGCTTAAACACACACACATTTTAGGCCAAATGAAGCATGAAAAATACTCAACTTAAAGACTTACAAAAGCATTAGCCATTCTTTCCTTTGTAGGGACGTTGGTAAGGTCTGAACTGCAGAGAATATGATTTGGATCCTACCCTACTCTTTCCTGAGACTGTTTTCCAGACAAGCCCAGCTGTTCTGGGGAGGAACCCACAGAAGCGTCAGGGTCGCCTTCACTCCCGGCTTCCCTTTCCACCCCAGGCTGAAGGCATCCACCCAAACCAGGGTGCCCTGCCCAGCTGGTTCCCCTGGATCCCCTCAGCCAGCCTGACCCCTTTCACTGGCCAGGGCTCTGACAAAGTCTCCACTTCCTCTCTAAATCCAGGCAAGTCATTTAAAGTCAAACTCGGATTTTAAATGTTTAGAATGTGGTTTCTCTCCCCCTTCTCTGGCCTGGGGGAGAGTCCTCTCTCCTAAAGCAATGGCTCTCAACGGTGAGAGGAATTTGTTAAAATGCCAATTCCTGAACCCCCATCTCACTCCCATTCTGGTTGCATTAGCCTTGAATCTGCATTTTAACGAGCTCCCAAGGCAATCCTGATACTGGAAGCCCCTAGACTTTACTTTGAGAAATTGTGTTCAGAGGGAAAGGGTCTCTAGCCGGTACTTACTTGCTGGTCTCATTCACCCAGCTGTATCCCCTTGTTAATACAACTAGCACAATGCCCCAGGCACTGCAGGGACTGGTGGGGGGGGTGGCGCCGGTGGGATGGATGGGGGAGGGGAAAGAAGGGAGGGCTGTTCAAGAGAGATGGACCCAGGCCAGGAGGATTCCCAATTAACCCGGCAAAACAGGCCGGAGGAAAGCACTGCAGTTCTTATAAAAATGTCTCTCTGAAAAATGTGTCAACCAGGGCTGAGTCATTTTTTAACCAAGAATTCTGTAAGAGACACGAGACCATGTCTAACATGGAAGACATGGCCACAAGACAGGCAGACCAGATGCAGGCTAGGGAGCCATGAGCTGCAAGTGAATGAAAACGCATCCAATTCAGAATCAAATAAACATGCCTGGGCCCACAGCCAAGGAGAGTTCTTGGATTGGACTTTTATCAGGACCTAAATTTTAACCAGCTGGAACTTCTTCTTTTCCAAGTACCACCCTATTCCTTCCTACCTTTTGAGATGAAGTATTTGCCTTAAATGGGAAACTTGCACTTCATTGTAAAGACGATGCCAGCGTTCTGGCTTCCTGAATTCCTGGAGGAGCAGGCTTTTTTGCAGGGTAGACATTTGTTTCAGAGATAAAAGACCAGAGAAGATGTACCCCATTTAGATAAGAAGGCATTCCTTGTTCCCTCCTTCTCCACTGCAGGAAAATGCCACTAAACAAAAACCTGTGGGAGCTGACGCCTAATTCTTTGTCCCATCAGTGTATTTTGAACAACTAGCAAGATGAAAGAAAGAAAAAAAAAAAAACCTCAGCGCAATTGACTGACAGAAACTGTTACTTTGGGAAAATTGTATTTATTACTCCAAGAGCAACTTTACCTGGCAAGGGCCCTAAGAGATTTTTTTTTTTTAAGAGTCAAAGAAGTGTGCCCAAAACTCATTCCTAAAACACTGAGCTGTGTTCGAGATGGTATCGGCCCCTTAATTGCCCCATTAAACAGTTTCTAAAACTGGCATCCTCATTTACACTGGATCTTAACTCTTGCTTCTTGATAGTGGTGGAATGGTTCTGTTGGTGAAGGGTAACTTTCTATCAGTAAAGAGAAGGAACACAGACAGGAACAGCATGTGCAAAAGCCTGCTGTGGAGAGGACACTGGAGCTCAGTGCTCTCATCTTTCCATCCACTTCCTAAAATCATCACTTAATACAGGATTAAGCAAGAAGGCTGCAGGGTCTAATTGGGCTCAGCCAAGATTTACAGGCTCTGAGGCCACCAAGATGAGGTTAAGTGCCTGGCTAAAGAAACCTGTCCTAAGACACAGATATGAGCAAATATTGACAATGTAGTGTGGTGAGTAGTAAAGTGCGAGGACCTGCATGAGAAGGCAAAGCAAGGGGAATGGCATTCAGGGTGGGCTTCCTGGAGGTGGTATCACCCGAGCTGAATCTTAGGACAAGCAGAAGGTTCTCAGGGGAGGAAAAGGCATCCTAAGAGCAGAAAGCATGTCTCAGCAGCATAAAGGGCACAAAAGTTAGGGACAGGCTGGAAAGGTAGGTATGCAAGGCAGGTGGGCAAGAGGGTTTGAGGAGAGCTGGTGGCTCCATCAGAGGCACCGAAAAGGCAAGTCCAGGAGGAAAGGAGCCATGCAGCAGGTTGGAAAGAGTGTGGAATCTGGGAGATGGCCCAGAGGCTTCCATGCTCATTCAAGAAGGGATGAACAGGACACAATTAGTGAGACCAAGGTAAAAGCTGTTGAGAAGGTCACCCCTAACTAGGAGTTGTGGTGGGAGAAAAGAGGTCAGCCTGACTGTGAGGCCACTGAGGGCAGGGATGCACAATTAGGGGAAATAAACACATTCCCACAGCATAGAGACCGAAACCATCAGCGTGGCTCCTTTGGGTCGCTCTTATACCCAAAGCATTAAAACTTCCAAACTTTGTGAACTGACACATGAAGCCACCTAGACAATTGCAGAAAAATAGCAATTGGACTGATCCACCTAAGCTGTCATATGTAAACTCAGAATAAAATGCTTGTGATGCTCTTACAGTTATTCAAAAACCAAAATATCCATTTAGATCCAAAAAGTTTAGCAGGACTAATAAGTCAATATGAGATAGCCTTAAGGGAAACTTTTTGATCTAAAAACTGGGAAGAACTTGGTATCTTAAAAAGATAATAATTGTGAGATTTTACTAAAATGTGATGCTTTACTCAAAACAGGAAGGTTATATTCCCTATGGGGTTGGTGGTGGGAGGGTGTGTTATAGCTTAGTATAAGTCTAGCATAGTCTTAGTGCAGCTAGGCTATTAGGTTTGAAGTTATTCCAGCTGCCTGGCTCATACCTGGTTTTCTGCACTGTTTCTCTGATTGTGGGAAAGGGAGCTGGAAGCAACATCCTGAGACTCTAAAAGGGTGCCAGGTCCTAGGCCTTGACTGTGCTGAAGCCTTTCAGTACATCTCTGAAGAGGTGAGTCAACTTTGTTCTAAGGACCCAACTCTCAGCGCCAACAGTGCTGGGATAACAAGGAAATCCCCATTTATTCCCATTTTTCAGGTGGAGAAACTAGAAGCGGGAGCAGAGCCAAGGTCATGTCCCTGGCTGCCTGAGTGCATAGCCCTCACAAAGCTCTCCACAAGTCTGAAGGCCTTGAGTGCCGTGACGCCTGGCCGCCCTGGCTTGGGTGGGAGGTGCGGGGCAGACAGAAGCAGTCTCCGGGTCCTGGGGCTGCCCAAACACAGGAACCCTGGTGGGCACCGGGGATCGCAGCATCCCCGCGCACATGGCTCCCCACCCGGACAGCATCAAACTGCTCGGTTACTGGGAGAAGACTCCAAACACGAGACTAAGAATGTACACCTCTCCACTCTCCTCCGGAGCATCTGACCGAGGTGACAAACTCGTGCCTTCCTTTGGCCTAGAAAAATATCTGCAAGTCAAGCTGGGGCCAGGGAGAAGGGGTGTAGGTCATCCATGAGACCCTTCGCTAGACGAAGGGCAAGATTTCCTAGCAAGTCAGGAATCGGGGGTGGGGTGAAAGTGGGGTAAGACGGCCCAGCCTAGAAGGAACAATGCGGCCACGAGAGGGGGCGCATCCCTCCCCAGCGCTCTGGGTCCCCTCTCTGTCAGTCCCGGGGCTCTGCAGAGTTGTGGACCAGAGGAGTCGACTACAGGACCACTCCTGCTCCCAAGCGCCCCCAGTCCAGACAGTTCGGAGCATCCCAGCCCCGGGGAGGAGGAGGCATGGGTCCGGAAACAAAGGGTGGGGCGCCCTTCTCCCGCCCGCCGCGGGACGCCCCTCTCGCCCGCCCTCTGGGAGCCGGACCCCGGCCAGTGGCCGCGCCTCATTAGCAACACAAAGCCGGGGGTCGGGCGGCCCCTTTCATCCCGGCTGGGGCTGGCGGACGCTCACCCCCGGAGGGAGGGAAGAAGGGCGGGAGCAGCGGTGATCCCAGCCCTGCCGCTGACTCCGCGTAGGGCAGGCAGGTCGGCACCCGCTCCGCTGCCCACAAGCACCTGTGCGCACTGCGCCCGCCACGCTTTTGGGGACGACGAAAAGTTTCTCCTTACCCTCCAGCCGCAGGTGTCGGCGCCCCGCGCTCTGCCGGAGCCGCCTGCCGCTACGGCCAGCTGCGAACCGTTGAGGCAGGCGTTGACCGTGAAGAAGACCGAGCAGAGCTGCAGCCACGGGGCCATGGCCGTGCGCTCGCCCAGCCCTACCCAACTCTGCACCCCGGCTGCCTGCCTCTGGCCAGCCCCAAGTGGGCGGTGGCGCCGGCGGCGGCGGCGGCGGCGGAGCTGGCCGCACTACCGAGCATGCGCCGCCGGCCCGCGCCCGGCCCCTTCCCTTTGGGCCCCGCCCCCCGCCCCGACTTTAGCACCGTGGCCCCGCCCTTCCAGCCCAGCCCTCTGTCTTGGCCCCGTCCCGCCCTGTAGTCCTCCCCAACTATGGCCACACCCCGAATCTCCACTGAGGGGCTGGGATCGGCAGGTTTTTTTCTCGCTACCTGACAGGCCTTTTTTTTTAATCCAAAGGATCTGTCCAAGTGATGCCTGCTCTCAGCAAAAAACTCAGGAAAACACAAAGAATATAATAAAAATGGTTTTTAAAGTAATTTAACCAACACCTACTATTTGCCAGGCCTCTTGAATCTTCCCACTCACAGTGGAAGTGTTAGTATTATTCTTGTCCCAGTTTCCGGCGCAAGAAAGTTAGGGTAATGTGGTGGTTATAAAAATCCTAGCTGAGGGGCGCCTGGGTGGCTCAGTTGGTTAACCGACTGCCTTCTGGTCAGGTCATGATCGTGTGGAGTCCCAGGATCAGGACTGAGTTTGGCATTGAGCTCAGCAGTCTGCTTCTCCCTCTCATGCTCTCTCTCATTCTCTCAAGTAAATAAATACAATCTTTTTTTTTTAATTTTTTAAAGAAAAATCCTAGCTGAGACCTCCGAAAAATGACTTGCTCCATGTCACTGTCCCTGCCCCCTGTAAACTGGAAAAACAAAAGTATGCTAGTCTGGGGAGGATTCTACTGGTTAGCACATAGCAAGTGTTCAATAAAGGCTACATTCTAACATTAACACACTTGCATAAGGTCACCCAGCTGGTACCTACTGAGATTCAAATCCAAATCTGACAAAAACAATACACTTAACCACCCCTCTTGACAGACTCACAACCTGAGATCAAGGGTCACACACTCCACCAAGTGAGCCAGCCAGGCACCCCATCTGAAACCATCTTAATTGGCTTTTCTGGTTAATAATGAGGTGGACCATGTTCCCATGTATTTAGTGGCCATTTGCATTTCTTCTTTGTTCCACAATTGGACTCTAGGAAAAGGAGCAGTACTTGGAGTTTATGGCCAAAGGAGAGCCTTAAGGAGGGTGCTGGAGAGGACAGCATTTCTACTTGGGTTTTACTCACATCACCATATGACTGAGTGACCAGGGAAGACAGAGCAACACCCCTGTTCCCTTTCCAGTCTCCATACCCATGCACAGCTCACTGCCTCACTGGGCAAGTGGGAACCTCTGAAAATATGCAGCAGAGTTCAGAGTTGCTCCAACTATAGGATTACAGAGGACACAAGAAAGAAAAGACTTATGTGTCCATTGTAAAACTTGTTAGACTGACATCCCTCAGGACCAGGGACTGAGACGCCCTCTTATGTACCTTCTAAGAAGGCCTTAAGCATGGGGGGTGGGAGGGGGGAATTGTGGTGGGAGGAGAACCACATACATCAAAGGGTCAAATTTGTTCAGGTAATAAACTGACATTTGGCAACATTCTCCCCATTCTGGTCTTCTCCATTGATTCTTTGCCTCTCATGCCCTCTTTTTGCTCTGGACCCTCCAGAATGTTTGTGAGGCTGCAGAAGTGAACCTCTGTACTGAGAGCTGAGATTAAATGAGAGGGCCAGGCCACTAACGTGACCTCCATGGACCACATCTTCCTCCAGACCACAGCCTAGTTCAGCTGTGTAGGTAACAGGAGGATGAGGCCATCCTCAAACACAATACATAGGCTCACCTACCACAGCCAGGATTGCCTGTGCCCCGTCACAATTTCAGCAGCCCATCACCATCCCTGACTGAATCACCTCTCTGCCCCCATCCTTGGTTCTCTTCCTGGCACACATCACTGGGCAAGAAACTGTTGCTGCCTCCACTCCTGTTTAGAATGAAACTGGGGATTAAACAGATTAAATCACCTTTAAATAAGCTGTTGATGAAATGCAAATATATTTCCCCAATTTACCTAGAAACTAACCAGATAAGAAAAACCCTTAACACAATGACTGTATTTTGTTAGGAGTCAAAATATCCCCGGAAATATAAGAAAGGATAAAGTGATGATAGAAATAATTTGTATCCTGAAATCATTTTTAGCAGAGAAGAACTAAAGACCATTTTAATAAGCAGTGGTTAGAAGCAATGGGCCAAAATTCTAATTTATTTTGGTATTACACTCAAGTATGTTTTATATACTAATCAAGACGTTAAAGGCAAAGGATGCCTCCCTGCCAGGCTCCCAGCAGGCTGAGGGGTGCAAGTTTCCCAAGGCTCTGGGGGAGCACCATTGTCCTGAGAGCCCCAGCCTCCGTCAGAGTCCTCTAAGGCTGCCTGGATGCCAGTCTGGCCATGGACAGTCTTGGCTCCCACAAAGTAGATGTCTACTTCACCTTCGGGAAGCCGAGATTCAGCCCTAGACTCATCTGACACTGCCCTCCACCCTACCTCCCCCCAACCCCCACCTCCCCCAAACCCCCACAACCCCCCAACACACAGTCTCTGCTTGGGGCGACTCTCTCTCTTTCTCTTTCTCTCTCTCTCTGCTTGGGGAGCCCCGCAGCCTTTCCAAACTGGTCTTGACTCCTTCCAGACTGCCCAGAGGCTGGGAACGAGGTTGGGCGTTGGACCTGGAGAGGATGACCGAACCCCACGCCCTGGAATCCACAAACCCGCCCTGCAGTGCCGGGGGGCGGGGGGGGGCGGTGGGTTCTGCAACCACAAAACAATTCACGAGTGCACCGTCACTTCCGATTTTTTCCCCCAGGAGGAAAGGAGGACCGGTGCGTCCAGGCTCCACGGTAACCCCTAGGGGGCGCGCGTGGTCCAGGTCAGAAACGTTCGAACTATCTCAGACCGCGCGGCCCGAAGAGCACATCATCGGGGACAAAACCTCCAGCGCAGGTGCTAGTGCTTGCTGTTACCCGAGCTGGTGCTAAGTTTGAGGGTAAGTGCAGTTCAGGAGGCGATAAGAAACCTAGGTGAAATGTGGGCTTTCAGCAACAAATACGGGCTTTCAGTGACTGTGTGGCTTTGAGCAATTGTCTTAGCCTCTCTGAATGTCAGGGATTTTTTTCCAGCAACCACACAGGAATGATGGGAATGCAGTCTTCAGTGGGTTTTTGTGTGTCTGAAGGAAGCAAATGGCGATGAGGGTCCGTGAACGTTACTACTGTAAGCAGTAGACCAGGAGCTGATGTAGTCAGGCCCAGGGGTAGCTGGAACCCAGTCAGTAGCTAGGGGAGATGGGCACCTCTACCTCCTTCCAGAGCTAACATCCTGATTTGGATCTGCACTAGACCGGAACCCTAGACGGCTAGGGACTGTATCCTGTTTACCATTCACTCAGTCATTCATTCAGCAAGTACCCATGGAGTCCTTGCACGATATCAGGCATTATGCCAGAAGCCAGGGACCAGTATGAACAGTCAGAAACTGTCCCCAAGAAGATGCTGTCCCAGCTGTCATAGAACCAACAAGCAAACATTCCTTTGAGGACACTGACATTACTCAGCTACATGATTGGGAATAATTACAAGTCTCTAAGGAAGTGATATCTGAGCTGAGGTACCTGGGCTAAAAGAAGGGGAGCAAAGACAGAAGGAGTGTTCTAGTCAGAGGAAACAGCACAGGCAAAGGTCCTGAGGGGATTGGTAACCAAAGAACCAAAAGAGGTCATTGTGATTGGAGAGCAGTGAGGTGTGGAAGCATGCTATAAGGTGAGCCCAAGCTGCAGGGAGAGGTGGGCAGGACTTTGTACCCTGATGTGAATCGAATCTAAGAGTACCCAGGAACTTCTGAGAGGTTTAAGGGCAAGGGCAGGACTGTATTTCGAAAAGGTCCCTGTATCCCAAGTACAGGGCACGGGGTATATCCTGTGTGGAGCTGGCATTTGCTACATACTTGTCCAATGAATAAATAACTAGGATCACTGTTGAAATTCTGGAATTTGATATCTTGAATGCAAAAAATCATTTAAAAAACCTGGAAAAGGGTTCCTGGGTGGCTCAGTTGGTTGGTTGACTGCCTTTGGCTCAGCTCATGGTCCGGGAGTCCTGGGATCAAGTCCCGCATCTGGCTCTCGGCTCCATGGGAAGTCCACTTCTCCCTCTGACCTTCTTACCTTTCATGCTTTCTCTCACTCTCTCTCTCAAATGGATAAGTAAAATCTTGGAAAAAAAAAAAAACTGGAAAAACAGGGGCACCTGGGTGGCTCAGTTGTTAAGCCTCTGCCTTCACCTCAGGTTATGATCCCAGGGTCCTGGGGTAGAGTCCCACTTCAGGCTCCCTGCTCCGTAGGAAGACTGCTTCTTCCTCTCCCACTCAACCTGCTTGTGTTTCCTCTCAATCTGTGCCTCTCTCTGTCAAAAAAATAAATAAAATCTTAAAAAAAAAAAAAACCTGGAAAAACATCCAACCCTACTAAAGTTCTAAATAATGCAAATATAATAAAATGCATAAAGTTTTCTTGTCTTTTAAGGTTATTTCTACTGCAAAGTTCCTTATTATTTTTAATAGAATATTTTTAGAATGATTTTAGGTTTACAGAAAAATTGAGAAGATAATAGAGTTCCTGCTCCCATATACTCTGTCCCTAGTTTCCTTTATTACTAACATATTACATTACTAGTATAGTACACTTTGTTACAATTAATAAGCCAATATTGATACATTATCATTACAAAAGTCCAAACTTTACTCAGATTTCCTTAGTTTTTACCTCTTATCTTTTTTCTGTTCCAGCATCCCACCCAGAATACTACATAACATTTAGCTCTCATGTCTCAGGGTCCTTTTGACTGAGATTTTCTCAGATTTCCCTTGTATCTGATGATCCTGACAATTTTGAAGAGCATCCATGAGATATTTTATAGGATGCCCCTCTGTTGGGATTTGTCTGATGAT